CTCTTAATTTGTCTTTTTAGTTTCTTTTTATGTTTGAGAATAAGAGTCCTTTACTTATACTTATTTAGTACTAATAATTTACAAAAACGCAAGCAATCTAACAGGAAAAAACGCATTGTATATATGTCGCTGACTTTAATTAAAATATTTTTACAGTATAATATTTATATTATACATACAATATTTACATAAGCTTATATTTTCTTATCTTTTTATTTTACAATGCATTACAATTATGGTCTATTTTTTTAAGTTTTTATTACGTTTAGATTAATTCGATGTAGTACATACAAATAAGCTAGAGTAGCTAGAAAAAGATGGAAAGATGGAGAGTAAAGAGCAAGTGAGAAAGAAGTTTAGGTGGCGCGACTGGGCATCTTGCTTATTTCGCGCATGCGCACTCCATTTTGTGTGACACTAACATCAAAGGTGCCGACAGAGAGTTGCGCTACTGTACATACTGTGACAGAACCAGTGTTCGATCTTGTCTGGATAAAATTATCTAGATGATCATCTAGATGAAATTTTGATGCCATCTTATCTTTATCTAGATAATAAAAATATTAATGTGGGATCGAGTATACGGAGTGTTTAAGGTGAACACGATCTCAAGTGAAAATAACAAGTTCCTTTAATGGAAGTATAATAATACGAAATATGATTCACTCGGATATAAAAAATGGTCCACCGGTCGTTCTCTAGCGGAACTCACTCAACGACTCGCTCTTAAAGAAAAGACACTCAGTGTCGTAACGCTGGTCGCCCCGCCTCGCGAAGTCGGGAAGGAAACAATCAGCGCTAGGGATAAATCACGCATAGTCGATAACGCGTTCCTTACTATTCGGACTATTCTACAATCCTACAACTCGGCCGTCCTGAACGTCATCTGGCCCAGATGATTACAAAGCAGTGGACCTGGGCTTCATATATTCAGCGCATGTGCTAGTTTTCGTTGGTCCTTCTCCAGGTTGCACGCGTTTTACATCATAAAAATCTTTAAATTTGACCTTTACTATTTTATAAGGACCGCGATATTTGGCACACAATCTTTTACCAAGTCCTAATTGTACTCTTTTAATCGCTAAATCGTCCTTTCGTTTCATTTTCACTCTCGGAATATAATATTCTTGTTTCCAACGCATCTTTAATCGCTTTACTGAGGAATGACCGTCGCTATGGACCATCTGGATAACTTCATGTTGCATCTCTTTAGGTACAACTAATAACTCATGTCCATCTTGATACTTATACAAAATATTGCTTCTGATAACATAATCATCATACGGTTTTTCCTTTAGAATCTTCGTGAGGGTCCGTAGCTCCGAATCCCTCCTTTGTGCATCGGCTACTTTAACTAAAACACTGTCGTCATTACTAATAGCTAAAATTGGATAACGGCTGAGCGCATCTACATGCCGCATTCTAGAATTAATTCTATGTTCAACGATTGCATCAAACTCTTCAATTAGCAAAGCCCATCTCGCGATTTTAGCTGATAGTTTAATTTTATTCATCGTTTGTTTGAAGGCAATGCAGTCGGTGACTATTTTAAACTTTATGCCTAATAAATAGTGGCGAAACTTCTCTAAAGCTCGTATCACTGCTAGCACCTCAAGTTCATAACTGGTATACCTTGACTCAACATCAGTCGTCTTAAAACTCATATAATACACAGGGTGCAATTTACCGTCGTCAGGATTTTTCTGCAAAAGAATGGCTCCTAAACCGTCTTTACATGCGTCGGTGTGTAACTCAGTCTCAAATTTTTGGTTAAAGATTTTCAAAACCGGATTGCGACTCAAATCCAATTTTAATTGCTCAAATGATTCTTTTACTCTAGTGCTAAATTCAAATGTACCTCCTTTCTTTAACATCTCGGAAAGAGGTCTTGCCTTAATGGAATATGACTCAATAAATTTTCTAAAATATCCGGAAAGCCCCAGGAAACTCTGGACATCTTTTAATGAGCGCGGCTCCGGAAAATTCAAAACAGACTGTATCTTATTGGGAGACGGAAGGACTTCACCGTTCCTTATCACATACCCCAAGTATTCTATGCTAGACTGCAATAGATGACATTTATTCTTATTAAGTTCTAAGCCGTATTCACTTGCTACTTGAAGAACTTTTTGCAACCGTCTAATACCTTCTTTTACATCAGGTGCTATTACAATCAAATCATCTAAGTATACTAATACAATTTCGTCGTTAACCAATGGTCGGAAGATATGGTTAATAAATCTTTGAAAAACAGGAGGTGAGTTGCATAATCCAAAAGGTACTCTTAAAAATTGAAACTGACCTTGATGGGTGACGAAGGCAGTGTATTTACGACTCTGCTTTTCTACATCAACATGGAAAAATCCATTTTTCAAATCTAGCGTACTGAATATGCGAGCGTAAGTCAACCGATCTATTTGATCCTCGATTATCGGCAATGGATACTTATCTTTCATTATTACTCGATTTAATTTCTTATAATCAATGCATAGCCGCGGGGATCCGTCTTTTTTCTTTGTTACTACCACGGGACTTGCATACTCAGACGAACATGGTTCTACTATCCTTTCGTCCACCCAGTCGCTCACCTGTTTCTCGACAATCTCTTTTTCCTTCGGAGGTAACCTTCGTGGGGGTTGATGAATAGGCGTCGCATCTTTTACTGCTATACTTAATTCTATGCCTGTCGTCTTGGTCTTATTAGGCTCATATGTTAACAACATGTTCTCTACGGTACTCTTAGATTCCTGATCTATCATTACATCTACGTGACCCTCCTCGTTCTTCTCCGGCTGCAATACAATTTGAGGTAAGAACATTGAAACACTAGATTTATGAACTGTGATGCCATTCTCATCAATTCTTATTTCAGCTTGACTAATAAAGTCAGTGCCTAATATTACAGAAATATTCATAGCATTTGTGGGAACCACGTGGAATGTTAAAGGAAAGTCAAAGTTATCTATCGTAATTATAGTTCGAAAATGTCCGAGAGTCCTGACCTGACCCTGAGCAATGCCCATTAGAAGCACTTCAGATTTCTGTAACTCAGATATGTTAAACGACGTAAAGACATCTTCACGCATCAAAGAAAGGTGACTACCTGTATCTAATAAAGCACTACATTTTTTACCCTCTATTGTGACTTCCTTGAACATTCGACTTACATGCACAGATTCTACGAGGATATTAGCTGTCGTCGAAACATCTTCCTTCCGAGGACAATTCTTTGATTCATAACCGAAATTACTGCAACTAAAACATTTTTTACCTTTCTCTTTAAATTTACAATCATACGACTTATGTCCGCTCTCACCACAATTATAGCAACAATCTATAGCTTTTGATGTCTGCTTCCGGTCTTCCTTCGATGCTCGGTCATCTTTCGTACTCTTACCTACTGCTTCTTTCTTCGGATGGCTCTTACTCGTAACAGGATTTCTCTCCTGCATCCTCTCGAAAGTGCGAAGTCGTTCTCTAAACTCGTTATAGCTTTTTGCCCCGTACAACACTATCTTGCTACTGCTGTCAGGGATACCATCGATGACGTATTGGATAACTGCCTCGGCCTCAATTTCACCTTGTGAAGCCAGCTCCCTCATGGATAAATAGTACTCTTGTATGTTCTCGTCCTTCTTTAATTTCCGTCTGGCAAGCCTGCGATGTATGTCTGCGCTGGTCACTTTAAGACTGAATTCTTCCAGCAACGCAGCTTTAAGTTTTTTCCAGGAATGAGTGATGCTTAATCCTTGTACAAACGTTTTGGCCACCCCTTTAAGCGATTTGCGGCCGAAAACTAACTTTTGCGTGTCACTCCACTCGAACACAGCTGCCATGTCTTCAAAGTCTGCTATCCATCTCTCTATTGGATAATGCTCTTTTCCATCAAATGAACGAATAGTATCTTCAATGTCTTTGAAATTAAATGTGATCTTCGTTTTGCCACTTCCTCTCTGTCTTGGGAGCACCTGCTCGTTGCGTCTTGAGCCGGTAACACTGATTGCAAGCGAAGAAACATTTACGTCGTTAATCTGGCTATCATCATCTTCTCTCTGTCGCTCCTGCTCATCGAATTCTTCCTCCGAATCCTCATCGGCATCCGTATCGTCGTCTTCAGGTGGCACTAATGTTCCGATATTCATAAGCGCCCTTATAATTCTCTGTCGCAGTTCTTCTTTACTACCGGTATAATCCAAGCCAAGAATATTGCACATGGAAGTCAAATCACCGATCGAGAAAACAGCAGCGTACTCTAGCTTTCCTCGATATTCATCGGATGCGTCGTTAAAATCAAAACCGCGGAAACCACGCAACTGTCTACGACTAGTGCGGTCTCCTTCTTTCTCAAATATCAGTCGATAAAGTGCGTACACAGCGGGGCGTGATGACGTACGTATTTTATCGGCGACTGGTCCAATCTGACCAAGCGTCTCCATCGTTTATATTCAATTGTCTTTGGTTAACTCAAAGCAACACGAACGACACGAGCAATGTACAACATAAGCAATATGGCCGACGTCCACGTTCGACAGCCTTGCTATTATATACTCTGTGCCTTCGCGAATATTCCTCTAACGTCTTTACTTCTTTCGTCCTTCGTCGTCTATCTTCCTTCTTCTTTCTTCGTCTCTTCGTTTCTCTCGTCTTTCGTCCTTCTCTGTCTTTCCCTTTTCGTCTTCCGTCTTTCTCTGTCTTTTCGTCTTTCGTCTTTCTTCTCCGTCTCGTCTTTCGTCTTTCGTTTCGTCTTTCTTCTTTATCTTCTCGTCTTTCGTCTTTCTTCCTCGTTTCGTCTTTCGTCTTTATCTCGTCTTTCGTCTTATCTTCTCTCTCGCACCTTACCGTGCGCGTCGTCCTCGTACGTCGTTGTATGCGTCGTTTTCGTACCTCGTTGTACGCGTTTTCCTCGTCGTACTTCGTTGAATGCGACGTTTTGTACCTCGTTGTACACGCCGTTCTGGTCATACCTCGTCGTATGCGTCGTTCTCGTCGTACCTCGTCGTATGCGTCTTCCTCGTCGTACTTCGTTGAATGCGACGTATTGTACCTCGTTGTACACGCCACTTCTCGTCGTACCTCGTCGTATGCGTCTTCCTCGTCGTACTTCGTTGAATGCGACGTATTGTACCTCGTTGTACACGCCACTTCTCGTCGTACCTCGTCGTATGCGTCGTTTTCCTCGTAGCGTCGTCGTCTTTGTTCACTACTCGGCGTCGTTTTCCTTGTATAGCTCGATCCCGTCGGTCTTCTCTTCTCAATCCCGGCTGAGCCCCCAAAATGTGGGATCGGGTATACGGAGTGTTTAAGGTGAACACGATCTCAAGTGAAAATAACAAGTTCCTTTAAGGGGATGCTGGAGTGTCCTGTTTTACCCAAAAATTTTTGTTGACTTCGCATTTTTAATTGTCTTTATGGATCGAAAATTCCTTCTCCACAATTAAAGTATCGACAATAACATAGTCCGCTTCATTCATTTTAATATGAAAAACGAAAGAAAATTAAAAACTTACAGTTTTGTTATCGGCTTCTGCAGTCGACTCGCCACATATGTGCTGCATATAATAATTTCAGGTCTTGCACGTTAAAAAACGGTATCATCCGGACAACAGGAATCCTCAAGGAACAATACTATGCTTGGAGAAACGAGCTAGGTGCTTTAGTATAAGAGCACGAAGTCTACAAAAATTTCGTCAGTATATTATGAGCGAAATTGACGTGCCACCATGAAACCGAGTAATATTTTAGTTCCGCGATATTCCGACAGCGGCGCTGTCATGAAATAAGCGTCGCTGAATCGTAGATTATCGACCGAATTATCGACGTATTTAGGCCCGTAACATAAAACACTCGTGCCCTGGTCAAAGTTTTTCCTTTTTTTTTT